CTCTGTCTATCAGATCTAGCCCCTTAAATCTATTTCTCACTTCCACTGTATAGTCATAAGGGATTTGATTTAGGTCATACCTGAATGGTCTAGTGGCTATCCCTACTTTCTTCAGTTTAAGTCTGAATTTGACAATAAGGAGTTCATGATCTGAGCCACAGTCAGCTCCCTGTCTTGTTTTTGCTGACTGTATAGAGCTTCTCCATCTTTGGCTGCAAAGAATATAATCAGTCTGATTTCGGTGTTGACCATCTGGTGATGTCCATGTGTAGAATCAGCTGTAAATGTCTGATGACTAAACACTACTATTAAGTGTTTCCCAAACTTGCCCTGAAGATATAAATTACATGGGATGCCGCTGCTACACAGTAGATTCTCAGGCTTCTCCGTTACCAGATGCTGATTGGCTGGTGTGGGTGGGGCTTAGGTATCTCTCTTTTAGAAAGAGCCTCAGGTAAAGTGCATTCTTAGGCTCCCAGTGTTAGGTTCAGTCCTGTGCAACTCTTTGTGACCCTCTGGCAGCCTGCCAGGCTCCTTGGTCCATGGGGTTTCCTAGGCAAGAGTACTGGAGTGGGCTGTCATTCCCTTCTCCAGCGGATCTTCCCGACCCAGGGATCAAACCCTGGTCTCCTGCATTGCAGGCGGATTCTTTACCACCTGAGCCACCAGGAAGCCATCCTTAGGCTAGTGTAGGAAATTCTATCTTGTAAGACGGGTTAGTCTTACAACACATCTATTGTATAATAGCTGGGTTAGGGCAGCCACTCCGTTGGTTAGAATTGGGTGGGCAAGCTCAGTTCTTACAGGTTGCAAGACTTGAATGATGTAAAGTCTTTTCTGCTTATAAAAATCTGCTTGTAAAACTCATCTAGACTGTGTGGTTTCAAATGATCACCCCTCAAATTATTTACAAAGGAAAAATTACTAACTTTGGGACTTCCCTGGTACTCCAGTGGTTAAGACTCCATGCTCCCAACGCAGGGGGCCCAGGTTCGATCCCTGGTCAGGGAACCAGATCCCACAAGGCACAACTAAGGGTTTGCATACCACAACTAAAGATCTTAACATGCCACAACTAAAGATCTCATGTGCCACAACTAAGATGGCGCAGCAAAATAAATAAGTAAAAGTGAATACTGAGAATTAGCATCTTTGCAGTGGAGAAACCTAGCAGACTCCTCCTTTACCAAGGGATCAGAATTAATATCACTGATAATGGGACAAATCACAGGTGACTTGATGGGACACACTGGAAGATGCAGCACTTCTGAGAGTCCCGACAGAAAAACATTTAACTAGAGTCTAATTGTAAGGAACGGCTTCCCAAGTGGCACTATTGGGAAAGAATCCGCCGCCAATGCAGGAGACCTGGGTTTGCTCCCTGGATCAGGAAGACCTCCTGGAGAAGGAAATGGCAACCCACTGCAGTGTTCTTGCCTGGAAAATCCCATGGACAGAGGAGCCAGTAGATTACGATCCTTGGAGTCAGAGAATCAGACATGACTGAGCACACACACACACAGTAAGGAAACATCAGGAAAGTCATCCAAACTGAGAGAGAGTCTACGAAACAGCTCCACCTCTTGCAAAGTGTTAAGATTGAAGAAGACCAGAGAGGCTGCAACCAACTACAATGCTGCATGGTCCCAGGTTGGATCCTTGATGTTATGGAGGTTGCTTTAAAGGATGTTTACGGACCAATTGCTAACACTCGAATAGGGATTGTGGAACAAGTAACAGTATTTTATCAGTGTGAGATTTCCTGATTTTGAGAGTTACACCATAGTCGAATAAGCGAATGTCCTTGTTCTTAGGAGATAGATGTGAAAGAGTTTAAAGGAAGTGATGGGACTTCCCTGGTGGTCCAAGTGTCAAGACTCCTTGCTTCTACTGCATGGGGCACTGGTTCAATCCCTGGTCAGGGAACTAGGATCCTGCATGCCATGCAGAGCAGCCGCCGAAAAATGATATAAGTAAAGGACATGATGTCTCCAAGTTACTCTCAAATGGCTCAGAAAAAAATAGTGTGCCCCTGTGTATAAATACATAAAATGATAAAGATCAAATATGTACAGTGTTATAAACTATAATCCCTGCTTCGTTGTTTCAGTCGTGTCTGACGGTT